AATCAATGAGAAAGGGGTGGACCATTGGGGAACTGGTTGTTATTCTCCTCTGTAGATCTTTGTATTTCTAATACATAAGGAATTTTACCAGAAATTCAAAACTTTGCAACCGGACAGCCTTGCCTGCTTGCCATAGGTGTTGGGGGTGAGGGGGGGGACCAATGAGCCTATCAGCTAGTGTTGAGATTACTGGGAAATTGTCCTAGCACAAGGCAGGCAGTAAAGAGTCTGAAAGAGTAGGGCTACATGAACTGTCCAGGGATTCACAGGAACTGGAGCACAACAAGAGACGGGCCTCTGGATGACCCTCTTTCAAAAGTTGGTGCTTTTGAGAGATCAGGAATCAGCCAGCTTCAGCTGAACAGCCTTGACCACATCTGAACCCAGAACGTCTCACGGACAGCTTTGAGATGAAATGAAGGTCAACAAACACTCAAGTGCACAGCAGAGCAAACAAAGAAGACCTTTTTTTAAGCTGGAAGAACACGAGGAGATTCCAGCTGGCAAACAGCTGGGTAAAATAGGAAGTTTATTGAATAACGGGTGCAAACAGTCAGAGGGAAATAAACATTGAAAAACCTGCCCTTCGGCCCACATGCTTTCCCTGCTGGAAAACAAGCAAGGCGTTTTATCATTTTCTCACAACTCTTCTAAAGCTATTACCCAAAGCAGCAGAGATACAACCTTGGAAACAGGATCAGGATGTAAAACTTATCTTCCTGGATCCAATCAAGTCTATCATTCTGTTGTCAACAAGCACCCAGCCAGGTGCCTTTGGAAATGTGTAAAAATCACAAAACTACAGAGGTAGAAGGAATCCAGGAGGTCACCTGCCCCGTCCTCCATGATTAGGGCAGGATCTATAATGCAAAATGCACCTAGAGTGGGCAAAAAAAAAAAAAAAAAAACTGGTGCGATTTTTAAAAGTGTGCATTGGTGCACAGCCCCTCTACAGCAGAGGGCAGAAGGTCACCCTCCAGAGTCTGCTCCAGTGCCAAACAGCTTATACGGGTAGGAATTTTCTCCTAACGTTCAGCCAAAATCTAAACATTCTCTGCACCTTTGCAACATCCACCCACGAATTCTAGCTTATTGAGATCCATCCAGCATGGTGCATCCTCTTCTTCAGGTATTTGATGACTTCCATGTCCTTTTTCCAGGCTAAATATACTCTGCTCTTTGCCCTTTGGGGGTTGGGAACGACAAACGCTAAGGCTCGATCCAGCCCTTTGGATTTTCCGAGGCTGCCGTGTGTGACACCCTCTTTGGGTGGCTTCTTCCCCCTCCCCCCATGTTTCCCCCAACTCTAGAAGGCTCTTAAAGCTTAGTTAATACCAGTAAGAGATTTAAGGCTTAGAAGTTGACCAGTTCCAATCAAACAGACTGAACTGACCCAAACAACTTAATGGGTTTAGCTTTCAAGTAAAAACTTTAATAAACTTTGAAAGATCAAGCTTTCAACAGGAGAACACATCCTGTCATCTTCAGGATACAAATGTAATACTAAAATCACCCAGTATGATTATTTCACGCAACATTCCACGTGGAACACATCCTGTCATCTTCAGGATACAAACGTAATACAAAATCACCCAGTGTGATTATTTCACCCAACATTCCACGTGAACTATTTAATCAATTTACTGCTGTCCTAATGAGGTCAATTATAGGAAGCCATGAATCATTCTTTGCCCTTCTTCACAGTTCAGCCCATGACTTCTCACACGTATCTCTAAAGACTCTCTTATATGTTTGTTTTCTTTGCTTTTGACTCCACACAACTGCTTTCCCTAATAACGTTGCTGACCTTGAATTTAGCTTTTGGTCTGAAAGAGTCCCTTACTTTGTTTTCCGCACCTAACACCATACTGGTTGCCCGCTTCTGGGCACACTTCAGTTTCTCCTGAAAAGTACAGTCTTCCTCTGTTACATGCCCTCAGCACCCAGTATTTAGAGATAGGTTGCCCCTGAAACTGGAGGCTCCAATTAGCTATCATGGCTGGAATCTAAGACTGGTAGACTTTTCGACTATGAATTGGGCTATCAGTTCTCTTTTTTAAAAAAAGCTGTTAAGCTAGCAAGGATCACTACACCTTGGGGTGGTGAGTTGGTACGAGATGTTCATGGCATGACATGGCATGCCAACCATAATGATGGCAGAGGGTATTTCTCCCTAAAGGGGGGGGGGACCCCCTGCTTTGACCACGTAGTGTCCCTAATGCCAAATTGTTATTTCCATCAGCCACGTTGAGGCTGATAAGAGCTAAAATGCAAAGCATCGGAAGGGCCAAAGATTCCTCCCTTGTACCGTAGGATGTCACTGGAAACCCGCCAACTCAGGTTGTGAAGATATATTTTATTTTTTAAAAAAAAAAACCTACCTGTGAACGGAAAACTCTTGCAGAGTTTTGCATTTTGGATTAAATTCCTTTTCGTTACACAGGAGAAGTACAGCAACCTGCAGAGAATAGCTCCAAGTTTCCGTAACAGTCCACCCCTTTTCTCATTAATTGCCACTTAAAATCTCAATAACTCACTCTGAGATATTTCTAGGAGAAAGACTAAAAACACTGCCTTACTTACAGTTGTGAACAGATCAACAGCAAACTGACAAGAAAAACCACTCCCCTGCTTACAACAGAGGTAAGAGACAGAAAAGAACATTCAGCAGAGAGGTGAGTCTTTCTTTGAATTGAAATGGTTATCATTGGATAGACTGACAGTCACTCAGGCCCCAAAAAATCCCTCCCGGTCACTTGAACCACAAGCAGCATGCAAGGTTGTAAAAACTCCAACGAAATCAATTCATACAATTAAGATTGGCCTTTCTTTCACAACTCACCTGACTTTCAGTCAGTCAAAATTGCTCTCAGTTCACGACCCTGGACACGGTTTTTGGACAGCAGCCAACCTTTGCCACATACCTGCTATTACAACATCTGCTCTCTCCAATTAAGTTTGTCCATGGAGAGCAATACCCATTTATATTTCTGCACAGCAAAGGAGCAGATGTTTGCACATGACTCAGTGTGGCTTCAGCAGTAATGTCCTGCCTCTTGGGTATTTTAGATTTAATGTCATACGGGCGAGCGAGTGTGTGAGCCGGGGGACATGGCTTGACCAAAGCAAAGCATTGCAGTCCAGAAACAACTTAAACTGTGGTATGAGGAGATTCCAAGCGGCAGTGTCCAGGTAAAAGAGATGGAAATGTTACTTTTGGGGAGTATAACTCTCTGTTAAGAAAGCTGATAGAGAAAAAAAGAAATTTATTTGAAATGTGGGACTTTTCACACACCGGAATGAACATTTACTTTAAAAAATGCAGCTATAGCAGTCCCTAACTACTTAGGGAAATGTTGGAACTGTTAGGATAGCCCTGTGGTTTAGGGATCTGCCTGTGGAGCCAGAGGTTGTACGTTCGATTTCTCCACTGTCCCTCCAGCCTGGGTGGCCTTGGGCAAGCTGCACAGTTCCAGGGCGCCCCCCATGGAAGGAAATGGTAAATCACTTCTGAGTATTCTTTACCTGTGAAACCCTGAAAAGGGTCACCATAAGTCAGAATTGACTTGACAGCAGGCAATTAAAGCTGACTAGATAACTCAGTCAGTTAGGTATTTGGTTGGGAGTTCAGTTCTCCACTGTGTCTCCTGGGATAAGAGCCAGCCTGTGTGGCCTTGGGCAAGCTGCAGAGTCCCAGGGCACCCCCAGTGGAAGGGAAAGGTAAAGCACTTCTGTGTATTCTCTGCCTGGAAAACCATGAAATGGGTCACCATAACCCAGAGTTGACTTGACAGCGTATTACATGAGCTGGCTCTATAGCTCAGTGGTTTGGGAGTTCGATTCCTCACTGTGCCTCAGGGAGAAGAGCCAGCCTGTTTGACCCTGGGCAAACAGCACAGACAACCCTCCAGGAGAAGGGAATGATAAACCAGTTCTGAGTATTCTCTCCCTAGAAGACCCTGAAAAGGGTCACCATGTCTCAGAACTGGCTTGGTGGCATGCAGTTGTTTTGTTGTTGTTGTTGTTGTTGTTGTTGTTGTTGTTGTTGTTGTTGTTGTTGTTAGTCTCTCTGATAACTGTGCAGTAAGCTCCAAGAGCTATGTGACAAGAATAAATGCAAAGGATAATGTTATAGGCTTGCTGAAAGCTACATTCTAAACACAACATTTGGTAAAGAGTAAGGACACTCCAGTATTTCGTACAGTTGACATAAACTCTTCTCCAGCTGATCCTTAACTTGTGTTACTGACACTGGATTCTGCTGATGCATTCCTGTAGTCACCAATTACAGTATGGATACCATGGGTTGCAAATATTTGCACTGGAATTTACATAGGCAAAGCTCTCTTTTTTTAAAAAAAATCAGTGTTTCTTTTTCAAGGCCAGCACTTTTAAATTGCAACCAGCAGAAACTGCTGGGCAGCAACATAATTGTAGTAAAGTTAAAATATATATATATAGTAAAAATCCAGGGTCCCTGCCAGGCTTTCTAGAATCTCTAAGCCAACCAAAAATTCACCCAGATGATGCAAGCTTTGAGTGAGCTCCAGATCTCAATGCCAAAGAGGCTGCAAAAAGCAAAGGAAAGGGAGGACGGGGGAGGGGCACTGAGTTAATATTGAAATCACACAAATTTTGCCTTTTTAATTTTTTTTTTAATTTTTTGAGATGCAATAGACCAAAAAAGTGTGCAGGAGCTTAAACGGGTCTCTGATGTAGCGGGCTTTAGCGGAAGGCAGGCAGCAATGGGAGCAAGCTAATCTTAACAGCAACACAAAGGAGTCTTCATCTGTGATCAGCTAGAATCCCACCAGACAGAATATGAGGGCGGTGCTTTGGTCCCCTCCCCACTTCGGAATATGAACCCGGGAGTGACACGTCCGCGCGCCTCTCTAACCGTGGGGGGCCTCTATGTTGCGCAACCCAGCCAATCGCCGCCTGCAGCGCCGGCCCGTGGCCAGGAAGGCGGGGCTCGCTTTACGGCCGCCGTAAACGAGGAGGTGCCGTAAGTGAGCGCTGGAAGTGGAGACGGAAGAGGAGGAGGAGGAGGAAGGAGAAGGAGCAGCCGCTGCGGCCGCCGCCGTCTTAGCCGAGGGGGCTCCGGCTCTGCTCGTCAGGGGTGGGTGAGGCGGGGGATGAGGAACGGGAGGCCCGGGAGGGGCAACAGGGAGGGTCGCGTAGCGGAGAACGGGGGCGGGGCAAGGAGGCAGGAGGGCCTGGAG